TAGGACAAATTTTGTAAAATCTGCCAAAATTTAGCAGAGCAATATTTCTCGAAACAAAATAAGTAGATACCCCAAACAGTGACTAGTACTCGTAAAAAGGTTTCAGCTCGCTCGGTCTTATCATAACGGAGAAACAGGGGCGATTCTGCACTTTTTTTCGTGAAATAGTTGGTTTCGAAAAAACGCGATACAGTGTAAATCGTCATTTTTGGTATACATCAGAATTCTCATGTTTCTAATTAAAGCTATCAAACACTGCAACTGCACAGCGATGTCAGGCACCTGCACAACACATTTGGACAACGAAATAGCCTTTTCTCATGAACAAATTTGCTACACAAACAAGTATAAGAGCGATTTCTTGGCACACGGAATTACTGAAAAACCAATTTTTTAAGGATCTTAATGGCAACGAAAACGCATCGTTTTCATGGCATTCGATAGAAAACACTTTTGATGGTCCTATTAGCGATAAAAGAATCAAAATCGGAAAATTTGAGTTTTTTGGGTCGGAAAAGGGCATAGCTTTCGTTTGGTTTTTTTACAGGAGGGGGAATTTCTAGGGAGATAATCTCCTAAAGTCAAGGAGAACGACTTTTTTCGCGTGCATAGTGAAAATCTTTTACCAAGGGAAAAAGAAAAAAAATTTCAGGCGTGGGAAATTCCACCCCTTCCCACGCTGGGAAAGGGGTGTCTTTCATCTAGAATTTTTTGCATAGCCTCATTAAATTTCATGGGGTCTTTCGATTAGAGAAAGCTGTAGATGGAGACAGAAGAGTGATAGCAGCGGCAAATGGAAGATTGAACCCAACTTAGGGAGATGCACGGAAAGCAAACTTAGAGTGAAATTTATTTTTGACTTTATTATACATATTCAGATTCAGCTTAACGAGCTGATTACGAATAACACCTTCCGAGCCTCCAAAAAGAAAAACTCAACTTGCCTTCATGGAGAAAAACTCAAATTACTGAGAGGACAAAAAACCGTCCTCATTGATGAAATTGACTTTTTGTGCTTGTATTGCAAGATGGAAGGTTCGAACTATATTTTTCTGAATCGGCATTAAAAACTGATTTAGAAAAAGGTTTTCAGTTCATTTCATTGGTAAACAGCCGTCCACCATGGACGTCCGAACCAACGACTGTCAACTGGGTATGGCTCATTTTGTAAACCTATCTAGTATTTTGGGTGAAGAGCTATATCGATGATTCACACACCATCAGATCGGCCAACACGCCAGCTTTAAAAGTATGAAGAGCTTTTTTCAAAATCCTTTTTCCTTGCTGAGAAAGACGGCTTTTACTGAAAACCAACGAGAAATAGAGAGGAGATCTTTGGAAAACCAGGCTGTGTGTAAAAATTTTCAATAGGATTGTATTGATTTTCTTCCAAGCTATGATAGCCCAAGGTAGTCTCTTCAAAATGAGAGTCAAGCGAGACTTTGGTTTTCCGCGGCTCGGCTGTTGTGTTGGATTTCTTGTGAGTCCCAGGACTGGCACCCGGTGACTGCTGGTAGCCTTGAAAACAGATGGACTATAGGTAATCGATCATGCTGAATCTTGTGGCAATATTTGTTTCTAGGAAAAGTGCTAAAATCTACCGAAAAGCGAGTTTTACGAAAATTTGAGTTTTCAGGCTGTTTTCACCTATTAAAAAATTCACTACTCACTCAGTAAACATCAGAACTGGTTTAAGACTTCAGAATATGGTCAATTTTCTCCGCTAAACGTGATTATAGGATCAAAAAAAATCGAAAAAGCATATTTGCTTTAACGGGTTTTCCAGAAAGCGTTCTGGAAAACCTCAGGGTTTTATAAACTCTCTTTTAAGGTCTCCTATAAATAGGATATGCAATCGCTTAAATGGTCTACATTCTGAAGTCTTAAACCAGTTCTGATGTTTACTGAGTGAGTAGTGAATTTTTTAATAGGTACGAATACGTGTGTTAATTATCGACGAAGCACACGAACGTTCACTGAATACAGATATTGTTATTGGCATTGGTAAACTACTATTAGAAAAACGTCCGAACGACTTTTTTGTTGTTATCGCTTCAGCCACAATCGATCCAACTCGATTCTTAACATTTTTCGATCGAGCGTCAAATCTTCCTTTATCGGTTCCTGGTCGTGTATTTCCGGTAACGGACGATTATTTGCCACCACCAGAAGGTTGTACCGATCAAAATTTGATCGAATTGCATGTTGTTCCAACGATTCTTCGCATCTTTCCCAAACACGAAGGACACACACTTGTTTTTCTACATGGTCAGCGCGAAATTGAACAAGCATTGAAATTATTCAATCGTAATATTCCGGACGGATGCGTGGCATTGCCACTCTACGGTTCGTTATCATCCGAAGAACAAGAAAAAGTACTCAAATTCGATGATGAAGATTCGAAACGAC